TTCTTCATTGTTTTCCAGAAAGCTGTAGTGCACACTGGCCAAAATGCCCCAGTGTGAATAAAGAAGTCTGCTCAAAAAAATTCACATGAACTCCAAGTTTCAGTGCAATGTGTCCTGGGCTTGTCTGCCACCAAATAGAGTACTTATTTTTGACACTCAAGTGAATGTGCTCTCTTTGCACCTCTGTTGAGGTCTACCACAAAAAATATCAAAGTGCTTCAAGAAGACAGGCCTGCTTAAACAGCAGATATTTACTGTGCTGATGAGCAGAACTGCTTTAGGGAAGAACAGGAAAAATCTTTGATATTATTTTTCTTTCACTGAACATATTTGACTGATGCTTGATTTATGTCATGATTCCAGAAAGATGTGAGAGTTAGTGACTAATCAGCAGTAGCAGTGACTATTTTTCTCCTTGCAAACAAAGAAACCATGCATATACATTTCAGATTTTGGCACCAGTTCTCCTGTTAGATGAACCTGTAGAAAGTTCTGGACTTAACCTCTAGCTGTCTATGCCTTAGATTGGCTAAAACTTCTTTGACTGGTTAACAATGAAGGAGGGCTAAAGTGGACTTGTCTGTTGTTTCTGGAAGAATATCTAGATCAAGATCATCCAGATTAACTTTATTATAATCGAGCTGTACTTCTGGTTTTTATACTTGGTTTACAGACTAGATAAATAACTAGTATTTCTTTTAATACTAGCTTATATACAGGGGGACTGACAGAAACCAGACTAATTGATTTCAAATGTGTGAGACTCAGATTTATTTTTTTTTTTTTGTTTTACCACAGGCAGTGCTGAGAGCACCATGTCTGCAGCTAACCTTGACCAGAGTACTCAGGTCAAGTGCCACAATGGTACATGTAGGTTTTACCATTATATCTGAACTGTAAAGGACACTGAAACTGTTGTGTGCTGCAGTTCATCCCAGAGTCCTTGCTCCCTGATAATCTGAATGGGAACCTGGACAAACAGTGCTATGAATCTCTTTTGTTTGTGCCTATGTTCATTTCTGTAGAGATTACTGTGTTGGGGTGTAGGGTGCAAAACAACAACACGCACATTGATCCCTGTGTGGGGATGCAGCCAAGTTTTTGCATCAGAATGAGAGAGATGGACAGAAGTCTTGAAAATCACAGTTCAGACACAGCCTGAAATTATGAGCTACTATAATGAAGACTGTGGTGTGTAAGAATCTAATTCAAAGAAACAAGTCCACATAGTACCCACATTTTACTTTTCAGCAATGTCAAAACACAGTAGAGCAAAGCCTTTGCTAAAACAGTTGCCAATTTCATTCTTCAGTTCATTCAGGAGGTGGATTGCACACTTATAAAAAAATAAAAGCTAAACTATACTCTGCTGAATTAATATAAATCGTGCACTTTCTGCAGTTCATGTATCCTTGTTTATGCAATTACAAATTTACAGAACCAGAGACTTTCAGTTTGTGTATCATTTCACAGGATTGAGCATGGGTGCACTGCAAACAGAAATTACTCTTCTACTTAGAAAAGTAGTACTACTACATAGAAAGCAGACTGTCCAAGACAGTAAGCCAATTTACACTGGAGATCTGCACCATGCTAAACCTGTGTTGTAACACCCAACCCTTTCAGAGCTCTGCTCTACCCTTTATCTCCCTTCCTCCCTTCCCTACCACATACACATGCGACTTCTCTATAGACATACGTGACCTGCTGATTAACCTGTACTGTTGGACTCATCTAACTGTGTCAGAAGAAGCAGAAAGAGAAATGCCCACAGGATCCACTAAGCCCACAGTACTGAACATCATCAGCATGTCTGCTTACAAGAGGAGTGAAGGAGGTAGAGAAGGGCAGACCCAAAATAGGTTCTGAATTCTGACACACATTATTCCACAAAATACAGTAATGGCTCATGCCAAGGCCAAGTCTCATGAGTATAGGGTACAAATGTAGTGGAAGTTTAATAAATCATCTGTGTATCAGATATTTCTCAAGGCCTTAAAGAACACTAAAAATAGCAAGAATTTTATCCTACTGTAATATGTAAGGTTTTTTTTCTTCTTGTATGATATAAAAACATTTCCCATCTTTCTTTAACTTCTCCTGTTTTTCTGATAGAAGCTATAATTATCCACCTGTGAAACTATAACTTTCTTACTGAAGTGACATGTCAGAAAATAAAGACTACCTATCCCTGGTGAGAATTATGAAAATAAACCCAACTGTGGAGATGATGTTGTTGTCATCAACATTTCACTTTGAGGGAAATGGAAACAAGCAATATACAGAATACGTAGAAATTTATTGCATTTCTGATAGAGGCCTTGACGGTGTAAATACCCTGGTCTGTGAATACACATTTATCTAAAGAACATGGTGTTTAACCTGACAGTGACAGGAGAAATACTACAACTTTCTTTCAGGTTCTGTCATCAAAGGAAAAGTATGTTAGACCTAGATTTACCTTTATGGTGCTGTTTTGAAGCTTTGCAATTTCCATAGCATAAAAATGTCTTTACAGTAAGTCAAGAAAATTTTCAATACAGTTCAAGAAAAATAGCCATTAAGTATAAAATCAGTCTGAGCCTTCAAATGTGGTAATATAAGAACAATGAATCTTAATTTTTAAAAAAAGTATTCCCTACTTTTTTCTCTTGTTCTGTATGTTTAGCTGAAAAATGACACAATAACAAAGATTTTATTTTAATATGAGTATCTGATGTGTTTTAGGTTAAATTTAATTTTGGGAGCATCCAGAAAAAGTATTAACTTAGCTTTCCTAATCTTTTCCCTAGTTCTGCTATTCTGTCAAACAGCTAACATAAAATCTGTTGAATATAAAAAGATTTTGTTTCTCTCTAACCTATTTTCAGTGGAGATACAGAGGCTCTCCTTGTTTTTCAGCAGCCTCCTCTATCACAGTCACGGAAAGATGAAAAGAAAATGGAGAGAACTGTTTTGATTTTTCTTATGCTAGGCAGATTGGAAAGCACATTGGTCTTTGTTTTTTAGGTGCAAACAAATTATGTGTTTAATAATGTTGAAAGTTTCCTGGGAAGCTGTACAGTTTTATATAATACCTAGTTCTTGTCTGTAAACCCAGTAATGTTCTTTAACTGGGTTGGAAGCAATCTTGTTACAATTGACCCTCCACTATTGGGTATGCCATGTATCATCTAGAGTTTGTAAACTATTTGAGGCACAGAGTGATCATTGCTTTATTTATAAAGTCTGTTCAGCTTCTCTGTGAGGGATCCCTTCTTTTTGAATACACTGTGACCACAATATTTACTTGACTTTTGAAATTCTAGGAATTTATTTTTCTTTTTTTGAGAAGTGTAATTCCCACCTTATAAGTCACAGTGCTGTTTAAAAACACAGCACTTAATTAAAACATACTTTCACATATCCATTTTCATGTACAAGAGACCTTACTGATGTCACTGGCACAACTCAGCTACATTTAGTTAATATTAGGTGTCCACATACTTGGAAACTTGTAAAATAGATTTTGCTTCCATCTGAGTCAACATACTGAATGGCAGAAAGGTTCAGAAAGGACCTCAAGAGATCTTCTAAGTTATTTGCTACCCAGGAGCTGCATTCCTAGATACTGTCCTATAAATATCTTCATGTACATTCATTCCCCTTAAGTCATGTCTTATGTCTTGTTCCATTTTTCTTACATGTATGGCTTGCAGGGTATCTGTCAAAACCCTCAAGCTGGCAGTAACGTACGCTTGTAGCAAATATACAGTTACCTACAGAACAGACAGGTACAGATTTAGAGGAGTGAGGAAGAGGGAATGGTTATGGCTTCAGGCTTACGTGATGGTGGGAGATTTCTGATGACTTGTTTTCAGCAAGTAATACTTTTAGAAAGGTGTGGGTTATTTTAAGAATAGGATTAAAGACATGGAAACATGGTATTTACTGGCACCTCTAGGAGCAGTGGTAAGCAGTTATGGCAGAGGCATAACTATTGCATGACAGAAAAAACAGATCCGTAATATCTCTCACATAATCCAACAAAAAGCTAGAAACCTTTGAGATAGTTGGATATCACAACAGACTCACCATGTTTGGTCCTTATTGCTTTGTAGCAGGTATTTTTCATATTTTTCATAAATCATACCTACAATTTTAATAACCATTCTGAACTCTAATACCTCTGTTCAGGGCCTGCAACCCTAGTTTGGTGCAACTGGTCAATGCACACTCTCTATTCCATCATTATTATGTCAATATATATGAATATTGCAAATATTGCATAAGGCCACTCTTGAAAAAGCTCCATAGCTATTCATAACTACTCCTTCAGAGGCTTCTAATTTATTTTTGCACGTATTTTTAGAATTTTTAATTCTCTCCTGAACAGCCCTATTTTGGCCTCAGTGGTTTATCTCATTTGTCATGACTCTGTCAATAACCTAAAGGAAACCCATCAATTTCCAGGAGAATCTTGCAATATTTGGTTGAGGTAGTTTTATTATTAATTTTATTAGTATTCCTGTTCATGCACAATGTTTTCTGTCAGTAAGCCTTATCAAAGACACAGAGAAAGAAAGACATCAATAGTTGAACAGGATGTATTGAGTCACCAGTGTAAGAAAAACTTTACCTATGGATTTATTAGGCTGACAGGCAGAGAGGAGGGTGAATGAAGCTGTAGGAAGTTTTTGCAGGTGATCACTACTGAGTGAAGCATTCAGTTACAGGTAGTGTTATAATTCTGGTAATTGCCAAAGTAATAGGGAAATTACCAGATATCTACTTTTGTAAGTATTCTTTTGTCACATTCAAAAAGAAAACATGTCAAATAGTTCCATTCTAGTCTTGCTTCTCAACAGAAAATAATTTGGAAATTTTAAGCTAGAACGTCACCTTTTTATTAAAATAAATGAAGTGATAAACAATGAGATTAGACTAAATACTCTCAGAAATGCTTAAAATCCTACCTGCATTTATAGCATTGATTTCCAAGAAGTTAAAAAGTGCTCTACCTTTGCAGAGGAAAGGCTGATTATGTGTTGATCTGCTTCGTTTGTCACAATTTCCACAACAGTGCATTGGTGTCCTGATAGCTTCCCTGTGGGCCTACTATTAATAGCAGGATGCCACAAACGAAGGAGTTTGTCCCGACCTGAAAGAAGAAGAAAAAAAAAAAGTCAGAAAGACTGAATAGTCTTTGTTATAGCTTTGCCATGGAAAGCTCAGTGTTGACAAATCTCTGCTTTCATCATATAGCAACTCCCACATAAGGATGTGAATTTTTCATCCTAAAGGCTGGATTCTAGCTTATGTTTTCATTGCTTATCTCCAAACTTGTATTAAAAACAAAACTAATTTGCCTTTCAAAGCCTTTTTATTTCTCTAGAGGAATGTCAGTGACACTGGATGTAACTATATGTGTTAGTCCCACAATACTTTATTAGAAATGGAAGTGAGGCTCAGATTTTTTTTTTTCCCCTTTAAAAATTTAATTTAGAAAACTGTCCAAACAATTTTCGTGTCCAGCTGTCCAGGAAATGAAGGGTTGACCACCTTTGTGGAAGAGGGTGAGTATGCAGAACAGGAAAGGAAGCAGGCATGTAAGTTAAGGGCAGATAAGAAACAACTTGTGATGAGTGATTTTGTGTCTTGAACTATATGAGTCTTAGGTCTTTCATATTTATCTGCAAGTTCAAACATTAAATTTACTTACAATTGAGGGAATAATCCCTGATTGCATTATAGATTAATCCTTTGGTATTATTTTTGTAATAGTTTCCATAAATATTTCAAAACACAAATATGTTAAAAATATATTAGTAATCTTCTGGGTTTACATACTAATATAAACAAAACTGTACCTACTGGACAGAAGTATTTCATATTTTTCACAGGAGTTTCAAGAGAACATGAGCCCATTTTAAATCTGACATTAATTAATTTATATTTTAGTTTTCAATTCCTGGCAAGTGTGGCAATTGTATGCAGTTAGATGAACACTCGATTTTGACAGACAGTAGATGAAGCAGCCACTTTTTATCTAGACTTCAGTTCCAGTTTTAGTTTTCTCTGGGCTCTGTTAAATTGATTCCACTGTTTATGTAGCCTCTCTCTAAATGACAGATGGTTACTGGAGAAACTATCTGCTCTTAAGCAGCTACAACAGTATGGTTTATGCAAACTCACTGTACAGGTGTGACTAAATGCCACCTTGCAAACACTGCACTGGCACAATGGAGAGAGAACTTCTGCATAGGAAAGGAGAGCCACAGAGAAGTAGCCAGCTGGCAGAAACTTCAGTAGGAACCAGTTTCTTTGCAGGGGGGTTTTCAGGCAAAACTATTCTAGATGAGCTATCTATGCTGCAAAGCCCGGGAAGAAGTAGCTTAAAAGGGCTATAATTACAGAATAGGTCTGTGAAGCCCTTTGGACAGGGAAGCTGCAAAGATGGTGGGCACCTCCGCACTCCCCAGGCGTTGTGTTAGGCCATCATAGAAATGTCTTGAAAGTTAGCATAACCCTTGTGACCAGGCCAGTACACACGACTGAGAAACAAGACTGTGGGAGTAAAACTGAGCTTGCAGACCTTCCATGAGGTCAACAGGTGGACACTGCTTCAACAGAACACCCTTCAGCAGCCCCAAATGGAAAGTGTCACGTCTTAAAATGATGGTAAGTAGAAGCTGTTGACAGTATCTGATCAACTCAACTACCTACATGCTGCACTTCTGAGGAATAGCATCTTTCTTCATCTTCCTAACTGTTCTGTATATTTTGCAGGTGATGGCAGATGAAGGGGAGGATAGTGCCCTTTAATTGTGGCAGAGAGTTTCTTTTAAGAATAGAGTCACGATACTAAGAGTAAGAACTTGTATCATTAGGAACAAAAACTTTTCCCTATGTTAAAAATACTGTTTGCTTCTTGTGTTAAAATTTTTAGTTCCTTTTACGTAGATGTAGAGATAATATATATATAAGACATTACTTGTTACTGCACTGCTGCCAGGAATACACAAAGGATACTAAGCAAGCTCAGAGGATTTCCTTTTATCAGTCTTAAGCTGCTACTGCTAGATTTAGAAATCACTAATAGTTTTTCTCCTACTTTGCTCACAGGAGAACAATAGCTGGATGTGAAGAACTAATAGGGTTAGAAGTTGATGTATCATACAACCTAAAACTGATCATCTCCAGCTTTTATAGGCATGCATAATTAGATTTTAACTGTAGCTGTTCCCTGAGGTGATGATTAAGACAGTTGCAATTGACATGGATACCAAATAAGAAGAAAATCGTATCACTTTGCCATTCAACATAATATTAATGCCAAATGCTACACAGAAAAGTTATTCGAAACTATTGTGGCCCCCACATTTCAGGCCATTACCAAACTTTTAATATTTTACTGATTGAAGTCTAGCTTTTAGCATGAAGAGTGAACTCTGTACCAGATTTGCTTTTATCTTTCTTATTATTATAAATGCCGAACATCTTGAAGACAAAATTAGGTTATGTCATATTACTAACAAACTTATGAGTATATTCAAATACAACTAAATAAATGATGGAAGAATAAGGGTGTTAAAATATGTCTTCCCAGGGTAATAAGACATGTAGTATTTTGCATACCTTTTACACTATAAACATCTGGCTAAAGAACAATCTCTTGGGATTTAGTAAAGTGGTTAGCAGATTTATCCCCAGTGAATACGCGAGCTTGCAGTCAGAGGTTGGGTTTGTCCTTTTAATTGCTGACTGTGACACATAAACACAGCTTTTACAAATGTTTGCACACAGCACCAAGAAATCTCTATATTATGATTCCTGAATTTATCTGCTCTGGTCTTTGATTTTTAGGGTATATTACAGAAAAAATTTCAGCCTTCCTACTCAACAAGACTAGCCTATGTTCATTTTAAACAGTTGAATTCTCTCATTAAATGGATCATCAACATGCATTTCTCTGCCAGATAAGAGATGGCTTTTAAGATACAGAGTGTTCTAGTCTGTCTGCTGGGCCATTGTGAGCAGTGTGTTTTAGTAATAGAGCACAGAACTACAAAGCTCAACTTCTGAAAACTTTAGTAGATTGAACTCTCAAGCACTGTAGTGTTGTTCCTACTTCTGAGTGCAGCTTCATAGTAGCTCCTGGCTGTTTAAACTTCACAGTGATATTGAAAGAGATGTTCCCATCCTGACTTAGTCTTTGGCCGTGCATTCCCACTGTCTCCTGTGACTCCTAGTACTCCATCCCAGGAACAATTTCCTTTTGTGTTTAAGGGAAGCAGCAGGGCCAAGCACTGGGAATGAGAGTGAGAGGCAGAAGGATGCCTTTTAATATCAAGATGGAGGACAGTGGGTGAACAAACAAGACATGATTCCAGCTCAAGGGTATGTAAATGTTATGATACAGGAATAGACTGGAAAATCATTACAAGTACAATTCTTACACTGTTTCAAAATCATCACTGCAGACTCCTTGAATATAATATTATAAAACTTTTGTCATGTTGCCCATGTTTTATGTGCTTCCGTGAAGTACAAAGTCGAAAGTCAAGTCAAATTAAAATGCAGTGTTGAGAAAGCTCATTTTCTAAAATATTCTGATTAGGTAGCTGCTTAGACAGGATAGGAGGTCCTGCACTCCAAGTCTAGCCTCCAACCATCACAGATAAATATGCAGTCTATCCTTTTCAGAATTCTCAAGCTCCATTTTAAACTGAGAAGGGTATTTCTTTCTGCAACTGCCACTATTCAGAAGAATTCCAAAACATCACTGCTCTAATTTTTGATCTAATATTTGTCTTCCTGATACTTTCATAGATAGCAATGCTATCCCTTGTTAATTGTCATTTTGTTAGGTTATAGAAAATATATTTTAATCTCTGTGATAGGTTTAGTGTCTAGGCGATAGATTTCGCCCATCTTTTTGTCATATTCAACTAATCTCTCAGACACAGGGCATATCAAACACACAGCAGACTCCAGTACAACCTGAGGTTTTACTAGTGTCACATTCAGAGAAGTTAATGTGTTATTACCTGCAGAACAGATACTTCAACTAACATACGTACCTAGGGCAAATATTGCTGCATGACTGCCCTATTCCTGTACCCTGCTGTGTTTATTGCTGGTCACTGCCAGTGAGGGGATAGTGGGTTAGGCAGACCTTTGGTCTGGTCTACCATAGCTATTATTATTTTCTTAGGAAGCTTATCCAGATTTTTCTTTTCTGCTATTTCTGTAAGAAGATTTTCCAGTATGTAAAAAAAAATTATTAGTTCCTGTGTAATTGACCTTCTGTCCTATTCAGAAGCTTCACTCTGGTTTTATTACTACAGTAAAAACCTGCAGTTCCGTCTGCAGGAACTACTAACCACACTCTGTTTTATAGGGCTTCCCTACTTTGTCATCAGTAAATTTCTCCAGACCACTTTCTGTGACAAGGTAATCAATGTAAACAACATCTTCTCCAAGGCTGAACTTCAGAATTTTCTCTAATAACTTTCCTATAGTCCTGTTGCTTTCCTTTTAAATCCTGGGTCTAGAAAAATCAATAGAACTGTCTGATATTTATTTTGATATCTGTCTCAGTTTTCCCTTTGGTAAACTGCTACAATTCAACTTGAATTGCTTTATTTCCTATGTCTAGGTCTTTAATTTTTTTTCCAAATTTATTTTACTGTCTTGCTTATTATCAAGGCTGGACAGCAGAGACTTGACCCCTTTTTTTTTTTTTTTAACTCTGGCTAAATATAGACATAAGAATTGCTATGTTTGCTATTGCAATTTTTAACAAAGTTTCAAGAAAGACTGTCATACTGAAGACTTGGAGATAGGCAGCATCAATGTCACCCCAGGGCATCCCCCTGTCAGACAGGATATACAAACAAGACTGCTGCCATACTCCAGCCACATTTCTGCAGCACAAAATGTGACCACTGCTCATAAAATTATTGGATAACAGGGAAAAAATGGATGTAGAAGTGCTATATCTTCAATCTGCTTTGGAAGAAAGAATGAACAGTAAAACTCTTGGGAAAAGCAATCAGAGAGATTTAGATTTAGATGGGCCAACGTCATTGCTTAAGGTAGAAAAGGATGGCCAAAGAGTAATAGGAAGGGATGGGAGACACTGCAAGGAGCAACATGTATAACCTCACCAAGACACTTACCACCATGATGTGAAAAGGTGCCTTAGAGTAGTTCAACACACAGTTTCTCCTGTTTTATTATATAAATTTATATAAATAACATGATACTTGAATCAACCCAGACTATGCCCTTGATAGATTCCTGTCAGAAGTATATCTTTTCAGAATGAGGCACCCAGAAATTAAAAGCAAGACCTCTATGTCCTATAATTTAAGACAGAAGCCATTATTTAAATTCTTAAGATACTAACTCAGCTTTATTCAATCTTATTTAAAGGGGGGGAAAAATTCACATGAGAACAATCTCTTCATTATTCAGGAAAAAAACCCTGAATACTTACCTCCAGTGACAATGACTTTTGCTTTCGCACAGTATGTGAAGGCATTGACTCCTCTAGGCACAGAAAATTCCTTTACAGGTCTGCAATTATTAATAAAAAAGTTAATTAACTAAGAAACATTAAAAAAATAGTCTACAGTCATTCTACTTTTCTGTGGTATCCAGAATAGCTATTCTATATACTGCATGATGTATACAATCTATCGTCAAAAGTGAATTGATTTTTAACAGTGACTTATGATCATACTTGGTGATCCTGGCATCAATAAAACAGGAACAGAGTGCACTTTCCATTAAAGTAATAAATCTCTGATTCGAACACCTGAACCCTTTATCAGTCATACTCCAATTAGAATCCTAAAATGGCAGCTGTGCCAAAGGAAATCTTCGCACATGTCTGCATGCTCAGAGCAGTTGATTGAGGAAAAGTATCAAACCAAAAGCCTTTGCCCGTTTTGGATATGGAGGTCTATTGTGGCCTTTATTTTGCCTAAAGTAGTGTAGAAAGTAAGAAAAGTAAACTTTTCTGTTGCTTATGTCTAAAGTGTTGTATAATGCATAATGTTTTATCTATTTTGTATTGTATAATAACATAAAGAGGCTGCAAATTTCTGAAAATCAGTGAAATTATTCTCTGCTAAAGCACAGGAGTCCAAACGGCCAACACAGACTGAGGTTGACTGAGTGTCCCTTCTAAACCCATCCTTTGAGCAACTTTTGCTTGTCTCCTCATGTTTCATGTATTGCTACTAATGAGTAAATATTTTTGTGATTTTGGGATTCAGCAATAGCATGGTTATCACCCATCTCTCCCAGAAAACGATAACTGTTAGTGTAAATAAGCTATCCAGAATTAAATTAGTAAACTCGTAGGTAGTTCATTTATTCCAGGCCAAAAGTAACCCTTAATTCTGAAAACTATAACTGGAGATGACAGTCAAAATGACAAAAGACTCTTGAAATTTTGAGCATTAATGAAAGAGCTTGTTCTTTGTAGACAGGATGCAAAGCTTTCCTTTCAGAGTTCTAACAGAGGAGTCTTAATTCCCTTGAGGATATAAAATAGCAATTAATTGGTTTAAATATGTGATTGACAGATTTCTTCAGGATTTGTCATTTTCCCTTTAATTCTTAAATATCATTCTTCTATGCAACTGTCTTTTGGCTCTTTAAAGAATGTTCTTAATACTCTCCCAACATCAGTGGAAATACAGGGGCTCCAGCAATGTAAAGTCCTGCCCAAGTCATAGTCTTGCAACAGAAGCACCCTGTGACCTCATCCATGCCTCCCTTTTTTTAGATATTTTACAAGAAAAGAACTGCTCATCAGCCATTTTCCAGAAAAAAAAATTAACAGACACATAGAGACAAGATACACTGCATCACTCCTCAAGCACAATACCAACTGCTTCCTGCAGAGTTAATTGGGGAAATTTATTTGTCAGCACCAGTAAATCATATATGTCAACCATGATTACTTGTGGAACTGGCATTTCAAAATTATTTGATCCATAGCTATTTTTTGGGCTATTAATTTAACAGCTGTGTAGTTTTTCAGTTGTCCAAGTGTAACTTAATGTATCTGCTGCATGAAACCTCTTAGAGAAATGTGTTTTTTGAAGTTGGAGACAATTATAGTCCATGTTAAATGAAAAAAAACTCTACCAAGATATATGCAGTTAATGTTCTGTATTACAGTGTATGGTGGTAGCATATACTCTTTTCACTACACTTTTCAACTCTGAAGTCTTTGTTTTATTTATCCTCAAAATAATTATATTTTTTCAAAACTAAAAACAAACAAACACAACAAACCCCCCCCCCAAAAAAAAACCCAAACCCACAAACAAACAAACACACCAAACCACCACCTGGATTTCTCAGCTTTTCTCCTGATCCTATATGTGACTTTGGACACCAAATAATTATTTCACATTTCACTTTCCCCATCCACAACAGAAAAGGAATGCTCATAGAACCTAAAGTTATTGCATTGATGCAAGAATTACTATGTGAATATTTATGGCTTGTGTTACATGAGATAAAACAGATTATTTTAGTTGTTGCTGCTAGCCTTAAAAATCTATTAATATCTGCATGTACCTCAGAGGAATTGCAAACCTGAACTATTGTTTACAATTCTTTGAGATATTTGAATGAAAAGTCCTATTTATACATTATTTATAGTTCCTTTTTGTATCAAATTATGTTTTTATTAATTATTTTTAAGTTGAGCTGCAAAGTCTTCTGAAATCACCAACTAGTAAGGCTTGGAATCGGCTACAGCACTGATGGGCCATATGGGCCATCACCTCTTTCCTGATACATAGTAAACCCATTTCCAGCCCTCAGAATAAATTACTTCCTTGATTTACGCTTGTGTAACCAAAACTTGTGAAAATGAAACTGTAAACAAAACCAAGTTGAAAATATTTGCATAGATATAAATTTTAAATGAATGGATACACGATGTAGATGTAACAAAGAAATCCATTTTCTAACTGTAATTTGCCTGTTGATGAGAAATCAGAGAAGACAATACTGGCAACAAATTATTTGTAAGGGTTGCGAGTGATGAACGTGTATGGACAAATCCTCTCCCTACATCGAAAGCTAACAAACTAAAAAGTTCAAGTATTGAAGTGGTCATATTTTTTTCTGTACCAACAATGCTTATAGAAAAGATAGCTTCAATGCACCAGGTTGGAATCTTGCAAGGCACTGATCCCATGCAGTTAAATAGCAAAAGAAGAGGATGGCAGAGGATGTACTTACAGGTTGTCCTCTAGTCTCTTTATGTTATCCAAAACAAATGAGTGAATACTGTCCGAGGAGCAGGATCCAAAACAATTTAGGTCAGAAATATATTTAACCTTCACAACCCAGTCATCATGTAGCTTGCGTTTAACACTAGGGATATAAATTGAGATGTTGTTAGGATACACTAGCATCTACTGTAACATGCCCTCAGGGGGACAGGAATTTTGCCAGTGAGATTATACACAACCATTGCTATCACTTAACACCCAGGGCAGACATGGAGGCAATCTTCCAGCTTAAAAGCAAGCAGAGCTAAAGGTAGGGTTGACTCATGCACTTCTCTAGTCGCAATCATGCTTCCATCTAATTAGGCACAATAAGGCTATGCCTATGTCAAACTGGATAACAGCAAATGTGAATTCTTCCTTGCAATTTTACCCTGCAACCCTTCTGTTGTACTATCTCTTACTGAAAATTATGGCATTTCCTCACACAACAAGCAAATCATTCTTACTACAGTTTGAAAAATAATTTCCATTGTTAGGTAGGCTTGATTTATACCAAAAGTTAATCCTGCATTTGGGCCAGAGAAAACCCAAATTAAAAAAAAATGCCAGGTGAATAATATTTTGTAATAAGCAACTTACATATGAAACGTTTTGGAGTCCAAGACCTGAGGTTTGGATTCTTTTTTGCCTTTACATTGTTTCAATCCAAAGCGATCACTGGTCAGAGTAAGCAGTCGAACATAACCCTTATCATCTCCTATTAGGACATCATCCTTAGCCAAGTGATCTGACACAGTCATTGTGCAAACACAGAGCAGACTATTTTCCACTGGCTTGATGACAAAGCAATTATTCTGTGAAATAGGGTAGATAGTTTATTAGATATTGCACATGAGCCCTTCAGTTGACCGAACATATCATGCTTATCTTTCTTACATCAGTATTCTACTTTTTTTTTTCTGAGCTTCCCCTGTGACAGCTGTTTCCTGGTATTAGAAACTCACAGAAGATCATTACCTAGAGAAGTTAAATGCAAACTTTAAGGACTTCAGTGAGGCTTTATTACCTAGGTAGCTTTTTCTACTTCAATGAGGTCATTTTAATTACAAATTTTAGGGAGGATCTCACCATGCTAAATGGGATGGTACATTTGCTATGACTGTATATCACTTCCTGTTCAAAAAGATATTGTCTGGAAGAAAATGGGAAATAGCCAAATTAAAGAATTACTCAAACCACAAAGTGCAGCAGTAACACACAGAGAGAAATTATATCCAAGTCCTAATTATTAATGCAGCCTAGGAGTACTAAGCATACTTATATGAGCAGGTGTTCAATTTTCAGGAACTGAGATAATGGGAATGGTTACAGCTGCAAGCCACTGTGGTATTTTGTTAGACTGAGAAGCCCTGGGAATGGGATTTCAGGTCATCTGCATTATATTGTTTATTGGTTCTACTGCCCGACTCCATCTGTTACTTGATTGAAGTGTTCTTGCCAGCCTAACCTGGCAACTGTTCACATGCCATAAGAAATCACTGCTTCAGTGTTGTCCATTTAGCACAGGAACATTAAAAGAGACATAACACAGATACAGAACTGTCTATATATTATTTCTGTGGTCTGCTCCTATTCAGCCACAGGACACTTTTAGCTCTCACTGATATAATGACTGGAGGAAACCTGGAGAATAATAAGTGGAAAAGAGCTTTTCTTCCCAGGAATCCAACTGAATTGACAGAAAGGCTTCCATTGACCTTTCTGAACTTGGGCAGTGATCTTTTAATATGGAGAACAAAACCAACCTAACAAAAATCCTAAGGTTTGATCTTATCCTAAAAATATTTACTTTGCTGCTTCTTCTCAGCCAGCTCAGAATTGCTGAGAAAAGTCCGAGGAACAGGACAAAAAAGCTACAGTATGCGTTAGAAATCCCTGGGAAAATGGTATTTTGCAATAAGACATTCAAGAAAATTTTAACAGTTTGGACAAACACTATCTACATCAAGATGTTTTTGCTCTTTTAAAGTCCTCAGCAAAATGCAGGGTGTGAAGAAATATTTTCTTTAAATCAGGAAGTTACTTCAAAGGAGCTTATGTTAAATTCCTTGAAAAGCCTGTCCTTTGCTTCTTAATAGATTCTAAGATATACATATGCACATACATTAGATATACGTGGGCACACATATGCATTAGATACACATAGAAAATAAACTGGGGGTTTGCAATGTAATACAAAATTTTCCTGTTTCTTCCAAGCTTTTAAGACACTTTTAATCTAATTTGGTATGGAAGGGTATTCCTTCTTTAGTGTGAATTCCACTGTTTCACTGAGTTCATACAAAGACAAAAGTTAATACCTTCATCCTCTTACACAAAAGGAATGTGTGTGTATATTGAAAACAAAGACTAATCTTTTTCAGGCTTCCTCTTTAACATTTGCCTGATCCAACATAATACCTGACTCCTTTTTGATTTATAGTCCCAGACGATGACTGTCCTCTCAGTTACAGCCACGACACATTTCAGGTGAGGCAGGAAATCACATCCACTGATCCAAGCAGTATCCTGATGAAAATAAACAGGGTAGCTAAAGAAGGATTTTCTCTGTAAATTTATAAAATTCTCTGTCATTCAAGTACATATTTTAAACCACCTCCACATAAATCCAATATACTCTGCACTAGCAGCTGCTAGATCCAGCCCCAGCTAACAGAACAGAGTTCTAACTCCAGGAATAGATCGTACATGAGGTTACGGAGGTGCCAGGCTCAACCTCTTTTATCAGTGATTCACCTCAGGTGCACAGATGTTGCACTTGAGAGGACACAGGACATATATACTGTTAGATGAACTGCAGTGACGTTGAAAAAAGCACTCCGAGCTGAGGAAACTTAAGCTAGAACATCCATGATAAAGCAGATTAAATCTTTACTTGGATACAGCTTAGTTCAAAATAAAAGAAAGTTAAAGGCAGACAAAATTTCAGCTATAGTAACACAAAGCCTACTAATGTGAATGTTTATGAAAATAAGTTACATGTATTAAATAATTTTAACTCTCCCAATATGCAGATCAAATATTTACAAAGAAATATCAGCCCATATTAAGCCATTGTTCAAGTATACCTCCAATTATAAAATAATGTAAAATAATTTCTCTTGCAAAGTGTAACATTAGAGACTCAAATTTGCTACCACACTGGCCAGAATTTTCTTTGTTGAAACAGGAATAGCTGTTTGATTTTTTACCCCCAATATGTAATGAACCTTCCTAAATGAGAGTGAGATTGAAGTGGAATATGATCCATTTGCTATGTCTGCATTGGCACAATTACCTATCAATTTAAAATAATTCAGAACATCATTAAAATAATACTGACTGAAACATCTTTCTTTTCTAGATTAAAATGACAAAGAAACATTTGACCCAGACTTAACACTATTATTGCAGTCCAAGCAAGCTTGTAATCGCTTCACCTGTAACCTCTAAAAACCTAGTTCCAGTAGAAGTACTTGATAAACAACTAAAACAAGGACCTAGGTTGCCCAAGATACAGTTTACATCCACAGAGCGATTTAGGAAGCAAAAAGTACAACACTAAATCCATGGTGAACTGAAGGCAGCTGCTGATGCTTCTACTTTTATTTCCATTGTTGTGCACAATATTGATTTTGCTGTTAGTGTACAGGGTCCAAAATCCTGACAGAGCGAGGTCAACACTTTATTACAGGAGAAAGCTGCATTCCTTCCTGATGGCCTGTAAGTGGAAATACATTTACAAGGATTTCTTCTACTGTTTTCTACAATAAAGACATGGAAAATGCCCATCCTGCAGAGGCCTTATTGATTGCTTGCTAATTCTTATGGAAGACTAAGTGTGGCTTTTGGGGGTCTTTACAACAGTGTCAGATGAGAATGACTAACTGGTGTCAAACAGCTGATTTTACATTTGTAATTAAACTAATATTTTTGTAGTGCTGGCTTGTGATGATACAGTCAAAGTAACAGAGCTGCATCTTGCAAAAGTTTCCCAGGCTATCATGTGTAGTGGGATGGTGCAGACGCAAAAGGAAGATCAAAACCAAGCAGTAAGGTGAATCCTTGCAGTTATCTGCTTACAGACAAAGTCTAAGGGGCAGTTGCACTTGAATTTTAGGCAATAAAACAAGCCCTGATGAAAAGATTTCAATCCAGGAAAAGAGAGAAACATTTAAACTTTCCACAACTCAACAAATGAACTTCACAAAGTTCACTTAGTTTCTAAATTACATTGGAGTCTAAGTTAGTCCATATCGTTATCTGCTGCAGAGCCTTAATAGTCTCTGCTTCCCACTGACCAACAGAATAACTTTGGTTCCAGGTTCATTAGGCAATTCTGGATATCAGTTTCTATTCTCTCCCTGTATTCACTATTCTCTCCCTGTAGCTAATGATGCTGAGCCACCAAACAGGGTAGGACCATTCAGCTTCCCTTGCTGGTCACAGTGACTAGAAACATCAGACTGTCAAACAGGAACTTGGCAGCAGTTAGCCTCTAGGCAAACAAAACCAGGAACACACCCCCATGCATTGCTACAGAAAGCAACCTTAATGCCTAGCACATCCTCAGGGAAAATCCTGCTAGGACTAGTACTCCCCTAACAAATTAGCAATGAAAAACAGATGTTAGAATAACATGTTCCTTCATCTCTGTTTTTACTCCAAATTGCAACTGCTCTATCCTCCAGTTTGTCAAGGGAAAGGCCTACTTGCAGTTAAGTAAGCATTTAAGAACAAGTCTAGTAAAACTGAGCTTGAGCTTTCTTTTACAGTGAAGCATCCTAGCCATTGTATTTTAGCATCTACTGTCTTAGAGACACGATTATCACCAAAATATTATTTCACTAAAAAGAAGAGAAAACCTGACAGAAATAACCTAAGAAGCATTAATATCACTTCTGGTTTGAAGAGTAAATAAGAACACGGGTTCATACGAAGTTTTTTGTTTTTACAAGGTCTATACAAAGGCTGCATACATCAACTTTGTCTAATACGTATAGAAATAAAAATCATATCGTGTACATGTTCAAACTCTCCTTAGGGCATCTCAACTGTGATGAACATTGAAAGAAAGCAAAAGACATAGATAGAGAATGAATACTCCCTTAGAAGGAAAATGTTGGCCAAGATAGAATTTCACCTGCAAAATTTTCTTCTTTATAGAAGATAGATATTTCTAATTACTGACTCGCAGTCTAAAAAAGTATCTGGAAAAAAAAAAATCAAGCTTCAACTCACAACATGCAATTTGTATATGCCAGCAGAAAAACACAATTAGTAAAATAAACTCCAGATATAGCCTCTTTTCTTTTGCATTACTCATAGGCACAGACATATTGAATAACATAACAGCAGAAGTAGAAAAAAAGAAAAAAAAGTGTTTATTGGACCAGTTTATTAGAACTTGCCAGTCAGGGAAACATCCAGTATAGAGAAATTTGAGTTTTCCTGAAACATACATCAGTATAAGTGTTTTCACTTACACAGCTGGATTATTCTCAATTAACACTAAATTTGTCTTTACTTCCAGTGAAATTAAATTACAGTGAAGATAAGAGGTTATAAAGGCCTGGAGAAACCATTATAATAACCAAGACTGGCTTCCTGCATATCATGCTCCAGAGAACACTCACTGAGAAGTTTAGAGCCTACAGAGCAGAGAGGTTGTTCAAGTTAGGTAGCACTGCCTTCTAGGCTAGTGCTTGTTCAAGGACCTCAGCCTGGAGAATAAACAGGCTGTGTCAACAGCAGAGCGTGATGCTCTGTCCTTAAGATCCAAAATGAAAGTTCTTGACCAAAAAAGGCTGCAAGTGTTGCTTGAGACTACTCAGAAACTATGTATTGTGAAAGTCCTGAAGAGAAAAACGCACAGATTTATAGATTAACTTGATACATGGAGAAGTAGGTGATAGAAAAGAACAGTCTGCCAGAAACTATAAGCAAAACTTGCCCCCTAGTTCCAGCTTTAGAGCAAAGGCTGTAAGAATTTCTCTCCTTAGCACTGCTGTACTTGACAGACAAAGAAAGCAGCTGTACTAGATCAACTTTTTCATTATTTCCTTGTTCCCTCCTGTCACTCAAGGGCTCTATGGTCACTCCCTCATTTCCAGCACAGTTCCTGTTTCAGCTTCTCTGGCTCACTCACTGGGTCTGTTTATGGTTTCCTATGCTATATTTGAAAGACTAAAATTTAACTTTCCCTTCTTCAAGAGAAGCTGCTTGTTCGCTACCAGCGGTCTCAGCATCATTCAATGATGGCTCTATACTGGCTATCATTTTTTAAACCTGTCAGCTAGGCACACATGTTAATCCATGCACTCTAGCATTTCTTTGCCAGTGGTCACATTTTAAACCAGAATGTTTTATGTACTAAGGTGAATACTGTGCAGAGTTCTAAGTGTATTATATTTATGCCTGTATTCTTTTCACATAATCTCATCAAGAAATTAAATGAGGTTTTCTTCAAGTGACCTGTTCTCCACAATATCCCTGGAAAAAAAACCAGCAAGCAGTCTGTACTCATAGTTCATGTTCCATTTATATTAGCATGATGCCAGGGAAGTTCTGATGGATGAAGTCCACTGCATTTTATTTCCAGTACTACTGTTTCACAGCCTTTCTGGATCAATATACTCAGAGCCAAGATCTCTGGCACTCTCATTGGTTAAGTCTCTGTTCTGAAAAGCCTTAAGAATGAGAACACAAAATGGAAGAAGGACAGAGAAGATTCTGCAGATTTTTAGCCACCCTCTACACACATCATTATTTATCAATGGATGGAAGGTTTGGATGGAATTTGATAGCTTATCTCTGAATTCAGTACCTTCATTTCCATAAAGACATGTACAAATATATAGCTCAATCAATTAGCTAATGCTAGTATTGATAAAATTAAAACAGACAAAAATAACACAATAACTGCAGTAAGATAAGAACAGACTTATTTCTGCAAATATGAAAAAGATAGATTTAAGTCCTTGTCTAGATTTAGCCCATATCCAGGCCTAAATTACAGCAGTTGCTCCTCCCCAGCAAAGAAGGGAGATCAGGAAAAGCAGTTCAGACTCATAGGTTGGATGAAAACATATTTAATGGAACAGCCAAACTAATACCAGCAACAGCATAAAGTAATCAAAGTTATACATGGCCAGTAGATGTACAGCAGAAACAGGAAAGCAGTCCTCAGGAGCAGGAACAGTAGCAGGATCAAGAAGAACTAGAGCAAGAGCAGGAGATCCCCAACCTCCTACGGCTTCCCCCTTTCTACTGAGCATGCATTTCTGGTATGGGATACACCTGCAGCCAACTCAGGTCAGCTGCCCTGGCTGACTCCAAACTGCTAATGGCCTGCAGACCATGGCAGGCTTATGGCTCTGTCCCTGAGAAACCAGGGCAGCCCGACAAGGCAGATGCAGCTTTCTCTCATTAGCTATTCTGAAAGTAAGGATAAGGTGTTATTCACAGCTGTACATTGTAACTATTGAGTGCTTAGTACAGTTGACCAGATCTTTAATGTAAGTGGTAGGTGATGATTTACACTCACATAAGGTCTTGTCCTTTGATTTTTAACAAGTGTTTAGATAAAAGCTATTAAAATTCAAAGCTTCACTTTTAATAAGTGTGCTCTACCACAGAAAAGCTGTGACCCAGTTCTAGAGACATATCTCTCAAAGAACCCTCAAGTTAATAAATTTAATAGCATCCTATATTTCTGTTTGGAAAGTGGAATTTATTATTTCAAAAAACCCCACATTTTCATTTCATCGAAATCTGGGATGAGGATACAGAATTTCAATTTTAAGAATGAGATAGCTTAAAGTATTATGTTCTGCAAGCATAAAAATCTTTTAACAACCACCCAAAAGTTCAGGAAATGCTGTAGAACTGTTTTTTACTAATGAACATATATTTTTCTTATTTAAATTTTAGAGTGATAATTAAGTGTTGGATCTCAGAAGAAAAAAATCTGGAAAGGTAATGAGTAAAGGATAATTTGGTAGAAAAAGCATTTATCTGAGTTTTCTTTTTATTGGAAGAAAGAAATCAGGTTGTTCAATTGTTTGTATAACTAAAAGGAATAAATTGAACTTTTTTGACCTTTGGGACCCTATGACAAATAATGGATAAGTCTCAAGGTTAAAAGTAGTATTAGAATAATGCTCAGTTTCTAATTATTTCACTTTACCACCTGCTGGTTTTTAATTTAAATGATTTAACTGGACAAAAATGAACTTACTTCAACATTGGTGGTTGCCAGAACCCTCATCTGAAAAAAAAAAAAGGAAAGATAAGTAGTCACAATAACAAGTTAGCAATTAAACAAAGTGGGGTTTTTTTGTTGTTTTTAATTGAGATGTTGGAGTGAGCAAAATAAGTTAAAAAATACCCATTTTTTTACAGTGGAGTACAGATCAGCTGCTCTGATGACATTGTGTTTCTAACAGTCCAGCTAGAACCGCTGCAACTCCTGTAAGAGGTAGGACGTGCCATACAGAAACCCAAGCTAATGCTGCCCCAGATGACCTGGCAATTTATGCCAGCAAAATATCAGGCAGAGGTAGCATTTTAGGCTGCAAATAGGAATGCCCATATTGGTACAACATCTTTCAGCAAAGTTGACTAGTGGTGGACAGCACAGCCTGTGACTTAAAAACTGAAGAGTTTAAAGATACAGGGTGGTAGGCATACCTGCCACCAACACCCAGTGGAGACACAGTTCTCTTCTTTGCCCTTTAACAAAACTATATTCAGTTTTCAAAAGCAGTTTCAACCTTTTATCTTCTGAAACACCCACATTTGCTTTTTCACCTCCTCTTGTCCCTGCCCCTCATCAGTAATTAATCAATGATGCCTTGTTCCCATCCCAGCAATTCCACATTTCATAAACCAAGAAGATAGGATCAAAGCCTTTCTTCCCACAGAATTGTGAAGCCAGTGTCATCATGGACAAGTCTCTGAGCCGAGTTTAAAACTATTGTTAATCAAAAGTCCAATACTGATGCACTGTTACCAGATTTTGCTTTGTCTACAGTAACTTTAACTAGAGTGTGCACAGAGAATTTTCCTTAAGGCTGCCTTCTCCTACAGATCTTCTGTGCTGATCAAGGCAGCATCCATGGCTGAGAACCTGAGAAGGGTGCCTCATGTTCTAGAGTAAGCAGGAAATGGCTGACAAAGCAGAGCTGCATACAGGTGTTGAAGCATATTAGGTCCACATTTGTTGCAGAAAGCAATGCTCAGCCCTCCAATAGAATCATAGAATTATTTAGTGTGGAAAAGATCTTTAAGATCATTGAGTCCAATGTTAACCTAGAACTGCCAAGTCTACCACTAAACCATAACCCTAAGCCCCACGTCTATGTATCTTTTAAATACCTGGAGGGATAGTGACTCAACCACTTCCCCGAGTAGCTTGTTCCAGGGCTTTACAACCCTTTCAGTTAAGAAAATTTTCCTCATATCCAATCTAAATCTCCCCTGGAACAACTTGAGGCTATTTCCTGTCACTTGTTACTTTAGGAAAAGAGACAAACACTGACTTCACTGCAACCTCCGTTGAGGTAGTTTAGAGAGTCATAAGGTCTCCCATGAGCCTCCTTTTCTCCAGGCTAAACAACCTCAGTTCTCTCAGCTGCTTCTCATAAAACTTGTTCTCTAGGCCCTTCACCAGCTTTGTTGTCCTTCTTTGGACACACTCCAGCACATTAATGCCCTTATAGTCAGGGGCCCAAAACTGAACACGGTATTCAATGTGCAGCCTCATCAGTGCTGAAAACCTGTTGGTCTACAAATGAATTTTTCTTTGGCTTCACTTCAATTTCTGGTAGCTGCAGATATGTAATAGATCGTGATTTCTTATCACAGCAACCAGGGTAAACAAAATTTTCCAAGGTCTCTCTTAGACAATAATTAGATTCACCAGCAATTTACATAGTGAATGATGGAAGCTTGTCACTGGTGAAATAGGAGATGATCTTGAAAGCCATCCTGATGTATAAACCCTAAATTAAGCATTCTTAATGCCATCTAACATGACTGACACTAGTTATTTGCTGATAAAAAAATCTAATAATTCTTATTTAACTGAAGTTTAGATACACAAGCCGTGATATGGTTTGCAACCACTTTATTGTTCCTGTTTTTATTTGTAAGTTGGTGTGTGTGTGTGTGTGTTAAGTTTTGAACTATTTTCAGTTTCTACCCAGTACCAAATAAAAACTCCTCATCTAAATTGCCAACCAACTCCAAAGATGTATTCACAACCATTAAGGATATTGTCAAGTTATACCTGCTTTTCAAAGAACAAAGAGAATAGTACTAAGCTGATCTTGTTGAAAGCTTGGTGGCACTGGACATCAATGTACACCAGGGTGAATGAACAGAATATTCCTATTTCTCTGCCTATTTCTTCACAGGTGTATTTCTTACTTGTTAAATGCCTCAGAAGTAGCATAGTTAAAATCTGTATTATATTAGATTCACTAATTATATCTGACCAAATACTATTCATTCATGTACATGGAACACACTGACTTCTGTGCAATATGTGCATATGTTTAATAATCTAAATAATGCAACAATAATACAAAAATAAGCCCCTCTATCTATTTGTCAATGCACTGCTCATGAGCACATGTTTTGGCCCCTCACCCAATGCACAAGTCCCACCGAAAGATATCTTAAGGGCAAGCATCTTCATATCACTTTACCAATATGCTGCAAAACCAAACTAGACAAAACAAATCACCAGCTGGGATTTTAAGGCCAGGTCTCTTTAATGCCTCAGTTTTTGAGAAGAAGAATGATGCAAAAGTTGGCAACTCTGTATTTGCCTTTGTGATGCCAAGTCATATTCTAGCAACAGGACTCAAATGACTGCAGTGCTAAAGAACTAGAGTTTTCTCTTGCTTGTGTGAAGTTATACCAGAGCAATTCTAAAGAACTCACAAGTCATTTTCTCAGATCAACTGAGATCAGAGATCATATAATGAGTAAACAACTGCTGTCGTAATGCCTTAGTCATTTTCAGAACATACAGTTTTATAAGTGGGATTTGAGATCTCTAGCTGGATGTAAAATCACTTACACTGCAGTCACTGATGTCAGAGTGACATCAGTCTATGAGGAGGCAGCAACTCAACTTGAAAACAGCATGGGGAGGCAGGGGGTGGGGAGGAGAGCTATTTTTAACATACTCTGTGGAATTATTTTTTGTAGGTACATAAGAGGGATAATGCTCTGGAGGACAAAGAACTAGGCTTTCAAATAAATTATTTTAGTATTTACCAAAACTGCAGTACTGCTTTGGGTTTTAATCATCCACAGGAGTCCTTGCTTGCTTTATATGCTCCTGTCATAAGCATTATGCAGTAATTAGCTAAAAGCCCTAGAAAGCATTAATGCTGCTTTAAAGCTTTACTGCATTGTCTGAAACAATTTTTAATAAACTAGTTGTATTAGAATTGTGCAAACATAAAGCACCAATACGCATAGATGTGTGATGTACCTCATAGCATCCAGCAGTGTGTACCTCTCAATAGTATTATAATCATCTATAAGACTTACTTACAAATTGTACTTTAACAGCAGCTTGAGCCTCAACTTCTGATTAAAATGGTGCAGATGTCCTTACAGTTTACTGGTAAGGGGAATAACTGTGAAACTGTGTCATGCAGACTGACAGAAAATTCAAGACTTTCAAGCTTCTAGATGTTGCTGCATTGAAGAATTCTTTGCAAATGACTGATAAAATTATTCTGTCCATTCTAGATATTCTCAGTAGCTGTAGAAAATGATTAATTCTCTGGTTTCCACTTTATATGCAAAAGTTAATTCTGATTTTACCTTAAGGGAAACTTTTTCTGCAAATGAATGCAACTTATTTTCTATTAAACTAATTTCTGTTAAGAATGTCTTTTATTAGCCCTCTCTACCTTCTATCAACTTCTGTGGACTGTTCAGTAGGTTATTAATTGAAAATAACAATGTGTATATCCTACTGTGCTTTAAAAATATATGAAGAAATAACTTAAAAAAAAAAAAAGATATCTAGCCTTTTTTATGGGTAAGTTTGCATACTAAATCACAGGTAACTCAGCTCCCACATATACTGCCAAGTGGAATAATAAAAAAAGTTTGTTTGAATCAGAATTACCTGTTTGTTAAAAATAGTTAGCAGTCCTTTTTGAGAAGATGTTACTATGAAATCCAGATGGGGCACCTTCACTAGACCCTTAATCACATCTTGTCTCTTGACAACTGTCAATGACAATAGTATTAGTCTTCATCTTACAGACACAGCAAATCATAGAAATAGAACCATAATATCAAGAACATTTTCTCTTCCTGTAGCGCATATTGGTAACAACTCCAAGGTAGTAATGCATTATATCATAGATGATCCTATCCTTGACTTAAATAGTCATTTTGCATTTTAAAATATCATTAATGCATTATGGATTTGCTAGTTCTTCCTGCATTATTTAAAAAATACAGAAAGGCAAAAAACAAATGCATAAATAAATAGTCTGAGACAGACAAATTAATAATTTAAAAATTATTTAGGAAAATGGAGAACTGGGCAAGGAAGCAGTGTAGTGTTCACATGCAATGGCTTTAGTAGAAAACCATGTATTCTAGAACACAGAAGATGCAGCAGCATGAATAGTAAGGAGAGGCAGACATGCAATCTTATCACTGCACTTTCAATAATGTGTGCAACATATGGCAAGAAAAAAATATTAGTTTTGAATACGAGATGAAGTATGTCACCTGCATGAGTAATCTGATGTTTTTCAGATACAAGGAAAACCATGTTTTCTTCTTTCAGCTGCAAAGACATGGCATCACTTTCTCCTGTGAAACACCCAAAAAGCTAAACAAGACAAAATAGAACAAAACAAGGAATATATAACATAACTACTTCTGGAATATGCTTATATGTATAAAGTAAAATATTTATCTCACATTTTTATCATTTAAATGTTCTTTGAGTAAGTTTCCTAGTGTTATTTGCCTTAACTGTCAATATGACTTCAGACTGGTGAGATCTGCTATTCAGGCATAAGCTTTCTTCAGTGTTTGGAAAGAAGCCAGCAAAATACAGGCTTGTAGGAATAAAAACCCTCTAATTGATACAGCTGTTAGTACAGTTTTGCTTTGTATCAACTTTTTGTAAATAATCATCTTCAATTTCCTTTTTCCAGTTTTACCTACTTGTGCTTCCTCAGCTAGATCTCAGTTACAAGAAAAAACACTGAAAGGCAGACAAAACAGACTTCTTTGTATTTATAAACTGAGAAATTCAAAATAGCATAGTGGTTTAGCCTACACAGAAGAGTTTTTCCATAAAGATATACAGATTCCCATTTGCCTGAAGAAAAAAAAAAAAGAATATAAAGTCCATTCTTTTTCAGCCACTCCCTAAGCTTGGCAATGTTCCATTTGTACTAATGATCGTGGAGATTCCTACACAGGATATTCAGGTAAGCAGCTCATTTCTGTTCCAGGGTGTGACAGTACTTCAGCTGAAATGCTCTCTAACCCCCAGGCTCTGTACCCACGAGTAGGTTAGTCTTTTCCTTAGGAAATGAGTTCAGGCCCACTCAGCTGTACACATTTTTTTAATTTCCTTTCTCATATTACAGACATTATATATACTCATTTTCTTTCAGCATTTTTAAAAGCAATTCCCATTTGGTTGCAAGACAGAACGGTCCACTTTCTCCTAGTTCAATATTTTTCATGTTATACAACAGAACTCCCTTTTTTCTTCTTTGAGAGATGCGCATATTTTAAAAAAAAAATTACACAACATTATTCTTCATCTTTCATTTCACAGCTCCCTTCTTACCATGCACACAATTATTATCTATCATATATCATCAGTCAATACATGATCTGGCTATTATAATCCCTTGTATTCATCTTTCTAGTTTTTTATAATATCACCTTATCTTTCCATCCTATATCCAAACAGGATACAGGATTTTGGATTCTAAATTCCAGGTGTATGCTCCTTCTGCAAAGTCATAACAACACAATATTCATGATACTCAGCATGAATCAAAAAGTGGTAGTACTAGTAATTCATATGTATGGACTGTTTTTCATGTTATAGTATTTTCACAGTTGATTTTTACTTTTTAAAGTTCTATCTGAATCCAATTGTTTAGGATTAAATAGAAGGGTTCTGAAAGAATTGGTGTGGCTAGAACATTAAAATGGAGTGTTTCTGCTCAAAAATTTAAGTATGTATTCTTTTTACTATCATAAATTAATATTCTTGTAGCAGTTTTCCACCTATAACATGTATAAAGACAGTGTTACAGAATCACAAAGTCATGAGGTTGAAGAGGACCTCTTGGGATCATTTAGTCCAACTCCCCTGTCCAAGGAGGTCAGCTACACAAAGTTTCCCAGGGTTGAGTCCCATTAGGTTTTGAATATCTTTAAGGGTGGAGATTCCACAAACTCCTTGGGCAACCTGTCCCAGTGTTTGATCACCCTCATAGTTTAAAAAAAAAAAAAAAAAAGAAAAAAGTTTTATTGTGTTGACACGGAATTTCACGTCTCAATTTGTGCCCATTGCCTCCTGTCCTAGAATCACAGTAGAGAACAGAATCATTTTTATAAAAGTTTGGGTTGGAAGGTACCTTTAAAGGTCATCTAGTCCAAACTTGCTGCAGTGAGCAGGGACATCTTTAACTAGATCAGGTTGCTCAGAGCCCCATCCAACCTGTCCTTTAGTGGGCATTACAGAGAAGTGTCTGTCTCTCCATTCCCCCATCATTAGGCATTTACACCAATTGAGTTTTTTATCACTTAGGGGTTCAGCCAGTATTCTTGCCACCTCACTGCTTGCTTATTTAAACCATATTCTGTCAGCATGTCTCTGAGCATGTTATGGGAAACAATGTCAAAAACCATACTAAAGCTGAGGTAAAAAACATCCACTGCTCTCCTCTTACCAAGTCAGCCACCTCACTGTAGAATCCTATCAGACTGGTTAAGCATGGTTTCTTTGATTGCCCCATTGTAAATTCATGCTGCCTGCTCCTGAACACCTTCTCATCCTGTATGTGTTTCCAGAATTAGTTGCTCCATCACCTTCACCAAGAACTGAGGCAAGGCCAGTTGTCCTGTACTTCCATGGATCCTTTCTCTCACTCTTATTGAGAATACGAGTGACATTTTGCTTTCTTAAGTGTATGTTCCCATTTTCCAGGCAGTGAAGAACAGATTCTTCTCATTTCTGGGGACTCAGGTTTTGGCAGGAGGACTTTTTATTTAATGATAGACTGACCTGGTATCAAGTCACTCCTGAGTCGTGACAGGATGCTGGGTGCAGTGATTGGCCTAGGCCAGTTGCTGCCCTAAAGCTAACAGAGGTGGCAGTTCTCAGTGAGACAGACGGATGTGTTCTGTCACACTTCCTGCAGACAGGAGGTGGTGCCACACCTGGCGTCTTGCTTCTGCACAGCAGGAAGAAAACTGCCCACAGAAAGGGCATATTAGAAATCCCTTAGAGCTGCATAAACAGTTCCTGATGACTCTCCAACATGGAACCAGGGGATCCCAACAAGCCCCACCTCATAATGTTTACCAGAGGTTGACAAAGAGCATAAAAGATGAAGCAAAATGCAATTTTAACATCTTTCAGATGTTTGCCACTACAAAATAGAGCTTTCAAAGTGCCAACGACATTTGGGAAAGAGATGTAGAGGTCAGTTTCGCAAGTCATTGACAAATGATAACTGTTAGACTGTCCAGGATAGGTCTTTTAAATTTTGAAGTCATTAAATGTTTAAGGGTAAAATCCTAATTTAACTAAAGAGAACATTCAAAATTACTCTAACTTTTTTTTTTTTTTTTTTTTTTTTTAAGTAAAAAAACATCCTTAGAGTATCAGTATGCTGTTGTGGAGACTGCTGGAAACAAGAAACCCTTGAACATGGAGGTACTTGAAAAACAGAAACATCAGGAAGATACAGAAACACAAACACTGACACAAGGCCATGATCTTTTAGGTCATGGAAATATATCTGGAAGACTTTGCCAACCTAAAAAGAGGACAGATATGGAGAGGTAAACTTGAGAAAATTAGATCTGTGAGAGCAAGAAGAGAGGAACAAAAGGTCATGGATAGAGTTTTGGGAAAGAGGTGGCAGAAGAGAGAGAGACAGAGATCATAAAGGAGAAATATCAAAGGAACAAAATGATATTGTATCCCTCTTCCTTGACTTTCAAGACTGAGGGCATGCTCACCAGTGCCAAAAGCAGCAGGGGAACTCAAAAGAACAGGGATGAAATACCTGAAGAAAAAAACCAAAACACTAGAAAACAGGAGCACAGACAGTAGAAACCATGATGACTATTTAGGATGTTACAGAAAGTAACTGTTATCAGTGATACTTTTGAAAGACTAAGTGATAAAAAGCAAGCTGAAGCAAGAGCAATGGTACTTACATTGTTCACAGGGAGCAACTAACGATATGTTAAAGTTGCAGTTTATAAATGTGATTTGTCCATTACAACTAGTAGTTTAATGAACATTATAGGAACGAATGTCTTAAGTAACGGAGCATATCTCTGAAATGCTGCGGTTTAAACCCTCAGCCCTAAATGAGGGTTGCCGTATGGATGATGTCCACATCCAGGCAAGAAAGACCCTCCTGATTGCTTTTTGGGTCTGGCCAGCCTTGGGTGGGAACTGATTAGGAGATCACCACCAGGTGCCCCCACCCTCCACATTAACTTGGAGGTGGGGCAAGAAGCCACCTCTGTAAGAACTGACTCCCCCTGCAGTGGGGTTTTCTTGTGGAGTATGTGTGCTGTGTGAGGATTCTGGCTATTGGAAGGGCTCCTTGACTTCTCATGGCAAGTGGAGTTCCTAGGATGGCAGGGCCAGAACATGAAGCTGTTTCTTGGTCCCTACTATATAACTGTGCTTTTGGCCTGGCTGCTACCATTACCTATGGCTTGGCTCCTTGGCTGGCTAGCTCCCTTCTTCATATCCACTGTGAAGGGTGCATGAATTGACTTGTTCCTCCCTCTGGTTGTCTGGCACGTTGGATCTCTGGTGTGTGATGTGGTAGTGCAGGGAGGAGTTTGGCTGCTGGTCTGCCTGTTGATAATAATATCATTCTATGTTGGGCAAGTGGTCAGCAAAAGACTCTCAAACAGCTGACCTCAACTAGAATACACAGAATATTTACTGAGTCTTAAAAGATCCATTACATTTTTAACAATTTTTAATCATGAAAAGGAGCTGAATGTCATATCATGTTATGTCATGTTGTGTCACAAAAAATCATTTAAAAGGAACAAAAAGACTAAGGAGTATGTGAAAAGCAAGTGGGAATTAGGCTGTTTTAGTATCAAATAGAGATAAAAAAAAATGAAAAAAGAGGAAGAGCTATAGATATGGGTAGAAGAAAAGAAGGGTCTATGAACCTTATCAGTAAGTAAATGTGTCCATCTTCTAGTATCAAGAGGTGAGGAAACTTTAGAGCTGTAATACAGCTACACTTAAAAGCCTGTGGCATAGTTAGAAGGAAAAGGAACTTTGGCTTC